TAGAATTCCACTCCACATCAGATAGGCAATAAAAGTGGTCTCTCCCTGAAAAAAAAAAAAAATGCCATTCCATCCCACATTGATAGACAATACCCTTGGCCTCCTGCAAATAAGAGCCTGATAACATTTCCCGTGCCCTCCCTCCAACTTAATTTATTGATTTATCTTCCACACTGTTCTGTTTTTTCCCCTAGCCACAGCCCCACCTCCATTAATTTCCTAACATCTAGTGTTCCAAGTGTGTGTGTTCTTATGCGTGTACACACATGTATTCCTTTTCAGATGCAGACTGAACCCTTTAGGTTAAAGTCTGTTGGCTAGACCACATTGTGAATCCCTCAGGTAAGGTTAAACTTCAGAAACAGTGAGACTATACTCCAATTTTATCACTGAAGAGAAGAACAAATTTAAAATAATTCAGGGAACCTTTGTAATGGTGCTGTTTCCATGGTACTTGATGACAAACTTCAGAGAGCTTTTCTACCAGTAAATGCTAGAGGCTTCATTTCCCACAAATCCAGTGGGAATCCTCTTCCACCTAAAGTAATGATACATAATCTATTGCATCATACTAATTTATTAAGTGTGATGACATTGCTTAGATCTTGACATTTCTTTAAAAGCTTGTCTCATTTCTGAAAGAACCATAGACATTCATACAAACATTTAAACTACTTGCTTTGCTTATTCTCCCATAATTTATTACATCTGATTATCAAAATAGTGAGGACCAAGATGTTGCTATAGAACAGCTGGGGGGAATGTTCATCATTTGTGAAGAGTGTTGTAGCCTCATGTGCTTTAATTTAAACTAGGCATATCTATTTGAAGTAGGTGGAATAACATAGATTAGATTTACATAATCTGTCAGCTTGATAACTTTCAAATTAAAAAGCAAAAGGAGTTTAATATTGTCACTTGCCTTTGACAATTGCAAGGAGAAGACAGTGAATATCCTACTTGAAGCTATACATTGATCTGCCCAATACAAGGAAATAGGTGCTCGTTAGTTCTCTTTTTATGTAAAAATTTAATCTTACAGAGTTGTAAGATCTGAAAACTGGAAGCACACTAAAATCTAGGGCAGTTACATTCAAATGCTGATCTGTGGGCTGGATGCCTCAGAATTACCCAGGGCCCTTTTCTGAGCAATGCAGGAGCTCAGCTCCTCATCACGGAGGGCCATGCACAATTGGGGTCCACTAACTAGGGTCCCCCTCAGTAAGCATTCCTCTCACAAAGACGTTTGGATAGCACTCCATATTGTATCTACTTTGGAGATTTATAATGTGTCTCTTCAATTAAATAGGATTCTGAAAGTCCTACAGTAAAGAAATCTGCTTAACGAGGCATTCCACAGATTTAAATAATATGTGCACTTGGCATCCAATTTTTGCATAATATTCAACCAGAGTCTCCCAAGATACGGTTTAGAGGAAGGTAATCTACTATAGATTTTTCCACAGGGATGTGGTGGGGAGAGTTTCCTAGGCATAAATCTCTAGAGTATGATACATGCGATGTGTAGTTATCAAAGAGAATGTGAGTTTATTAAGACTGGGACTTTAAAATTTAAAGTCCATTTATTACCTACTATATGCCAGACACAGGGTTGGGTTCTTTACCTATGTGGATTTATTAAATCCTTACTACAACCCCATGAAGTTGTTTTTTGAAGCTTAAAAAAAATGAGACTGTCTCAGACTCCTTGCAACTCACAAGTAAATGTGAACTCTGACTCTGCAGCTTGTGTGTGGCGAGGGAGAAAAGTGAGATGAGCAACAGTAGAAGGATGTGCTAGTGGTGGTTACTGTTACAATTTTGCTGTCCAAAAAGACATTAATGGTAGAAATAATACTCTATGCATTTAATTCAGAATAGTGCTTTTATAACTTAAGAAGTTTCAAAGTGAGTCTCCCCATAGGTATTTTGAGAGACATACAAAATGTCAGGGTATTGCTCTACTAAATTACCACAATTTTTAGTAAAACTCTCATCAATATCTAGATTGATGATCAATTCTTTGGCTGTAATTATCATTGTTTACTTAAAAGTGAGCAGACCAATGACTTGGAGTCATAAGTCAAGGAGTAAGGGGAACTCCCTGGTCATCATGGGAGTCCTTGTAGCTTCTAAAACAAAAATACAGTTCTATATCCTATGTGGAAGATCACTCTTTGATCCTTATTGGAAAAGAACCTATATACCATGGGAGTTAGCTTTGGGGACTGGAGTGAGAATACTAATAATTGTCTGAATAAAGAGATTCCTTGAGCGGGCAGTGAAGGTTCCTGGGAAGTTGGAAGTGTCGTTCTAGGTAACAGGGTTCAAGAGTCTCCCCTTTTTCATTTCTCTCATTCCAAGTTCTTTCTTCCTCCTACATCCTCCTTTATTTAAAATAGTTCACTTTCTTTCACCAATCCTTGACCTAGAATAGCTTATCAGATGTTCTACCTCCTCTTTCCAAACTATTCCAGCTCCCACACGCAAGGCCTCTTCAGTCCTTCATGGCTCAGAACTGGATTTCCATTCATTGTCTTCACTGAGCTTTACCTTGAAGGCCAGTCTGAGAAATGACCAGGTGAAGAATGTCTCAACACCTGAAAAACTACATCTGATGACATTGTGGTTTATAGTATTCAGTGTTTCTCATGGAAAACTGCCATATAATAAAGCCTATAACTTTTGGAATTCAATTACAGAAATAATTACATATATATTTTTTATACTTGTGTGGGTGTATATGATGAGCCAGATTGCATCTCTTTGCAACAAAAATTTATGTTTCCTTTTTGGCCTTGAACAAAATTTGATCCTCAATTATAGCATTATATAATATATTTTTCCTATATTCATTTTTAACAGCCATATTAAATGTACATATCACCTGAAATTCTTCTAAAAGCAACACTAAATATGACTTTATTGATTTTTGAGCACTGTGTATTTGCATTTCTAAAGCCCAAATTGCATTGTATTTACCTTGGTCTGTGTCTCAGATCAGGGTTCTCTAAAATTCACACATCAGGAGAAAGATGATTATCATCAAATTGGCACTTCTAGGAACCCCCCCAAAACTTTAAATGATTTTTTATTATTACTAAGGCAATATCAATTTATTATATAAAATTTTAAGTTGCAGGAGGACAGAAAGAAAAATAATAATCTCATCAATTCTTATTAGCATTTTGGTCTTTCCAATATAACTTGCAAAAAATTTTAATTGCACATATGTACTAAATATTTAAATTTTAAACAATATTTCCAATTCTACTAAAGAAAAAGCCAGTAACACATACATGTAACCCATAACCAATTGTATTGCCAAAATGCTTCAGCAAAGATAAAGTTAAATCAGTAACACTTTTTTCCCAGTAGTAGAGGTAAGTAGTGAAATAATTGAAATAATTCAAGACTGCTTTTTACCTTTCAATTAAATGTTTAATTTATTTGAAAATGAAATAGCATAAGTGAAGAAGTCTTACCCATCACTATCTTCCCACCCTGTCTCTTCACCTGGTTTCCTATGGTAATGACTTTTTTAAAAAACACTTTATATAAGTGTTATTGCATGTAGAAAGCTATATGTATTTAATGTACACAACTTCTGAGTTTCGGGACAAATATATACCCATGAAATCATGATCACCAACCAAGTCATACACCTGTCCATCACCTACGAAAGTTCCTCCCATCCCTCTTGTTGTTACTACTATTATTATTGTGTAGTAAGAACACTTACCAGAAAATCTAGCATAAGCTCTAACATAGATTTAAAGTAGAAAATACAGCATTATTAGCTATAAAGTTCTAGCTGTATAGTAGAACTCCAGAGCTTACCTTGCATAACTGAAATATTACCCTTTGACCTTTAGTTTCCTGGGTTGGAAATAAGAACATATATTTCCAACCTCAACAAAAGACAGCATATTATATACAATCTTCTATACCTTGCTTTTTTCATTTATCAGTCAGTCCTGGAGATCTGTCAAATGCAAACATAAAAAGCAGTGAACCCACTATTCACTTCGGTGGATGTACCATAGTTTATATCCTGTCACCTTGCACACCATCTTTTGCTGCTGTGAACAGTGCCAGAGCGAGTAGTCCTGTGTACTTCATCTTATGTATGTGTGGTTACAAGTACAGGAGATTTTCCAGAGTTAATATTGCAAAGACAAAAAGATATGTTTTTATTGTCAAATTGCTCTTTGTAAAGATTATATTGATGCCATCTTATATTTTCATTGATATGTTTCCCCACAGCCTCAAAATTATTTGAAAATCATTGTGTGATTTTAAAAAGCAAATTCCATTCCTGTTAAACCAGTTGTTTAATATATTAATTTGAAATTGGTATGGTTAGCTATGATTTACTAACATGGAAGGATGTAATTACACAGGTACTCACAATGGTAGGTAATGCAATAGTAATTCAATTCAGCTTTGAAATAGAATAAGAATTTTTTCCCCATTAAATTTTCTGTCCTGATGATGTCTGCCTTAGGAAACATTAACTATGGATTTTAGCATGAACTAACTGGCTATTGATGGAAGAAGAAGGTTAAGAATCAGAAGCACTGTAGGATTCAAAATTTTTCTATATTATCTCTAATGTTGTAATATTTGCTTTGTTCTTTTTGATATCTATTTAGATTGATTTTCTAATAATCCCCAATTACCTGTATTTAAAAAAAAATCAGATTTATAATTGCTGTTGTAATGAAATGCCAATATCAGTAGAATATTTAATTATTTTCAGTCTGAAAAATATAAACAACTGAGAGAAACATTATTTTAAGTAGCACACATTAATAATTGAGTATATTTTAATAAAAGTAGTTTTAACCTATTTAGAATCTCACCACATATCATGTAGAAAGTAGAGAAGTCACATGTAAATATCTGAGAGTTTTGTGGAGTTGTGTTAGTATTAACATAACCCTCTGGGGTGGTCAGCAGAACTGGGGATCTGATTCTGTCTCTCTTTACCCTTGCAGCATCTTCCTTAAAGAGCTGGAGAAGTACGAGCAGCTACCTGAGGATGTGGGACATTGTTTTGTTACCTGGGTAATCTACCTGAAATCCTTCTCCTGCTGCCCCGGGGTGCAAATGGCACCAGATGGCATTACTGTTCCGTGCCTGGGCTGAGGATCAGTGTCAGTGCCAAACTAATGCAGAGTCGGGTTGTGAGAGGGGCCACCAGAGAAGCAGCTTCCCCTAAGAGAGGACACCTCCTTGGGAAACATTCTTAGATACTGTGCTCAAACATCATCTCTAAGGATTTTCTAAAAACGAAATACCTATCAGGAGAACAAGACCACCGCCATCCATGGGATAGTTGTTGAGTGGTTCTAACTAGTTATCTTTACAGGATTAAGCTTAGGGACTTAGAATGTTAGGAATTCAACTAATCACCAATTCCATTTTTTTTTCCTTAATGGAGAATAACAGACCCCTTGAGAATCCACCCCAATTCTGACCTACAAGGTGTTTGTTTAGTCATTCTCCCTTTTGGTGCTATTGTCATAGGCCAAGTAAAAGTGAATATACCAGATTACGTAAGTGGAAACATTAGCACCTCCACTCCACATTATTCTGCACTCATGAATAACATGACATTGGTGTACATATCTCCAAGGAAACCCACCTTGGACACTAAGTGCAACTAAACATGATACCCTTCCCCAGGGTCAAGAGTTACAATACTTAATAATTATCTAATTATAACTTCCACTCAAAGTGGGCCAATTACCTGTCAAAATGTCTTCATGACTTAGAGAGTTTATACACTCAATATTCCTACAGAATAGAAAGGGTGGTGTTCTACTTTAGATTTTCTACATGGAAACATTTCAGATGAAACAGGCTGCCTTGGCACAGGTTATAAATATCACAGCTAGTCCCACAGCTAAAGACCTGAATTGTTTTCTTTTCATGATACCTTAATGTCTGCTTCCTGGCATACTCTCATTTATTAAAGAAGTCTCAGATTGCTGTTTAATTTGCATTAGAATACTCTAAGTACATGAGCTCATTCACATGCTAATAAATTATTATTTATTAGGCAGGCAATGTAAAGAAAAAACAAAATTGACCATTAAAGAAGCATATTTTTTTGTACTTTGTGACATACAATTTGTGGATTTGCCTTAAAATCAAGCACAAGTATGAGTTGTCAACATCTTTTAGGGATAACAGATGCCTCGTAGGTAGTAGATAAACCCTAAAATTGGTTTTATGCACCCTTTGGTGCATAAAACATATATATCTTTGGCCAAGAATTATCCTAAGGTGTCTTTCTTAGGTCTCATGATCTAAATATATGAGTGGTACAGAAATAAAGTGTAGAAAAAATTACTTACAATATGTTGAAAGCTAGGACTGCTACCAAGTAGTCTGGCGTCAGATGCCTGGACAATCAAATTTTAGATCATTTAACCAACCTGTGCAACAGTTTTTATATCTGTAAAATGGAAAAATAATAGAAACCCAATATAAAGATCTTAGATAATCAGATGAGTTAATATACATAATAAAAATTAGAAAAGTGCTGACATAAATGAAACCTGCTATAATTAACAGATATGTAGGCTGCTCTTTCAGAAGACATCCCAAATGTTCTGTAGCCAGTAAGATGGACAGCATTTTAAGAATAGAAGTACTTCATAGCTAAATCCATACACCTTTCCGAATAAAAAAGGGTTTAGCAACAGTAACCCAGAGAATCCTGAAAGAAAGAAATTTTCAAGGAGTTGTACGGTCTTCTAGTCTTGAAGTAACAATCTGGGTGTGAATTAGTGGGACAGACCCTGTCCCAAAAGGTCATTCTGCTACTTGGCATATCCTAAAAACATGTCCCCATTGAAGACATTTGGAATATGAACAGGTCTACCTCTAAAATCATACTTCATTTTTATTCTTTGCTTTTTGACTTTAGAGCAATTAAGTCATTGTTTCAAGATGGGAAACAATTTTAGGTAATCCAAAAAGGGGGATAATCTCTAAATAAATCTGTCCAACTTCAGATTTTTCTGATTCTTCCTAGCTTAGAATAGTGTCTAAATGAGCTCACTTTCAGCAAGCTCTCTGCATTGCTGAAATGAGGAAAACATAGCATGTTTGTTAGGAGGGTATTGGCCAGATGAGCCCAGACCACTTGCCACAAAGAATCCAAACACTGAGGTCTGAGAATTAAAACTATATAATCGTTGCTGGGTCCTCTAGGTCCAATGGACAGAAGGAAGCCACTAATAGATGCTGATCTCTTTGTTCTTTTTAGGCAGACAAATTTCAGATGTACGTCACCTACTGTAAAAACAAACCTGATTCCAACCAGCTGATCCTGGAGCATGCAGGCACCTTCTTTGATGTAAGCTGTGATTTTCTATTTGGCCCTTGGCTTGCAGAATGTGTCTTTACTTTCAGATAATGGCTTCTTAGCAATCTTTTCTTCCTTGTTTTTCTTTACTAGCCACCAGCCACATAAAAAATGGGGGGAAGCAAAAGCAATGTTTGTCATCTCATCTCTTGATTTTCTACAAGACACATTTGTCTGTGCCTCAACAGTAAACCTAGCTTGTCATAAGTCTCATGTTTCACAGACGTCCTCATGATGCAGGTAGTGATTAAGATGTTTAACTTCTACTTCATCTATCTCCCCTTAATATAAGGGTTATAAATCTGTAGTCCTCAGATCACATCATCATCACTTGAGACTGTATTAGAAATACATTTTTGGTATTTCCCCCTTCCCCAGATCTTTTGAATCAGAATCTCTAGTTCTGATTGGGGTTGAGCCCAGCAATCTGTTTTAAAGAGCCCTCCAGATGATGCTGATGCCTACTCAAGCGTGAGAATCACAAAAAAAAAAAAAACACTTAACCTTAGTTAAACATTGGAATCACTTGCAAAACTGAAAAGCACTGATTCCTTGGGCTCCCCTGAGATTCTAATATGATTGGTCTGAAGTGGGCTTGGTCATTGAGAGTTTTAAAAATTTCCAGATTAGAGTAACATACAACCAGGTTGCATATTTGTACTGTTAAGGAAACCAAGAAGAAACAGGGTCAGTGGGCTGTGTCCTCTGTTTTGGATTTGAATGAGGATCCAATCCTGCTGATGAATAATAATGTGAGTCTAGACAATGCCCTGTGACTAATATATTGGCTACCAAGTAAACAGAATCAGTGGTCATTGCAGTATACAAGGCATGAATATGAGAGGGGAAATGAGGGAAAGGGAAGTTCAGGGAAAGACAGGCAGTGATAGTGATGGCCTGTGTGGTAGTCATATCAGAAATGATGGTGACTTCAGATTCAGAACTTTCATGTCTATCAGTGCATCCATCTTTCTGCCTATTTGTCTAATCCCTTCCATAAATACTTGAATATCTATTATATACAAAATTGTGCTAGGCTCCATTGAGGATATAAAGACTGAAACATAGCTTCGTACTCAGGTTATAAAATAAACCTTCTCTGAGCATCTTGCCTCTTGACACTGCCCTCACAGAAGTGATTCTGTAAGTGTCTTGTTGCTTAGCAAAGAATGACACTTGAAGGGAAAAAACCAGATGAGAAAAAACATGCGTGATTTTTTTAACATGGGCCATTAATCTGAAAATGATCCTAAAGTGTCCCAAACCAGAATTTCTGAGGTCAGATTTTCCAGAACTGATTTGATAACATACTGAGTTCTCCATGTTACTACCATCTTTGCTAAATAACGTATTTCCCTTAAGATGTTTCTGACTGATTTTTCAACAGTATGCAGAATGGCCTTTCTGAAGTTTTAATGAAATGTGCCCTGTGCTCCACGTCGTGTTGTTCTGAATGCATATGTCCTGAGTTCTAGGCATGCTTTGGACTTTTCTGCTTTCCTTAACTTTACTCACACTGCTCTTTGCTTAAAGAGCAATTGTACTTTTTGTGCACATACACACACACCCAAGCACCCAAGCACTCTTCAAAATTCCTCCTGTCCTTTAAAGGTCAAATTTTGCTTCGTGCATGAATCCTTCCCTATCTCTTTGTGTACATTATACCTTCTATCTCTACTAAGATTTTTTAATGATTTGCCTTTTGATAAGTTAACAAGGTAACTTTCTATTATAGACACCTCCCCTCACCACCAGTAAGCTATTTGAGAGCTGAACTGATGATTTGCCTGTTTCATATTTATACATATTTCAGTGATTTATTTTCCTTTGGACTTCTATTCCTCATATCCCTGTTTCTAGCAAATGTTTAGACTTTGATAAGTCAAATATATCGTATATTTCCCACATTACACCTAATAAACCTCTATGTTAGTTGAAAAAATAAATGGAGGCCAGAAAATCAATCCAGAAGGCATTCCTAGAGTTTTGGCTTGGAGGTGTGAAGAGAGAAAAATAAATTCTTCCAATTGTTCCCAAAACTTTTCAGAAAGCATAATCTTGGTAGCTTTTTTTCATTCTTCCAGAAGGGTTTCCATCTCCTCCAGGTCCTTATTCTCTAAAAGATAGACTTTAATAAAAGTAGTTTCTTATTATCCATTATTGCAAAGAGAAGACAGAAAATTGTGGTCACAAAAGCACACATATTCACATGATCCAGAATTTTTTACTCTAGATGTGAGGGCTGTGAGCCTGTGACAGCTGCTGATTACTTAAGCTTGATTTAGCTGACCTCGCTCCTGGAAAAAGACCCTCTCCTGGCTGCTTAACAGGCAACCTTCCTAGAGCCAGGCATCTTACTAGTAACGCAAGAGTGTCAGAGATGCATTACTGCTTATGCTTTCTTGCCGGAGCTCCCAAATAAACTCACAGTGTTCCTTTGCTCAAAGAGAGTAACACTGCCAAACGTTTTGCCCATCATCATTGGACAATGTACCTCTAGGGAAGAGGTAAATGAGTGAGAAAATTGCTCCTTCCTGGAATAATTGATGGAAAATAGAAATTTTTTACATTATTCTCCCATTCCCCTTTCTTCAAGTTACAGGCAAACCCTATATTCTATCACTTTTAGATGTTTCTTTTATTCCTCCCAAAATTCCTTGCATTAGCTTTTTCCTGACTAATCCTAGCTCATGTCAAGACCTGGAGATAAAATATATAGATGTAGATTATACATACATTTAAAGCATGCACTACCATGGTTCTAGTATATTCACAGACAGTGCAGACATCCCCACAGTTAATTTTAAAATATTTTAATCACCTCTAAGAGCAAGCCCAGGACTCTGTAGCTATCACCCACTTCCCTCATCCTCATACCTATATTCTCAGCCCAGAACAACCATTGACCCTTTTTCTATTTCTATAGAATTGCCTGTTCTGTAGATCTACAAAAAAATGAAATCACAACAAATGTTGTGACAGACTTCTTTCACTTAGCATGTTTTCAAGATTCATATATGTTAAAATATACATATAGTGGCCCTCCCTGGTGGCGCAGCGGGTTAAAGCACTACACTGAGAAGCTAAAGCCACTTCCACATGAGTTTGATTCCCGCCTGCCCCGGAGGTGACCACATGGCGTGACAGACCTCTCCTGACCGGCCCGCTGCTCCCCTCAGCAGTGTACTTCGTCGATCTGCCTATTCTGCTTCCCGCTCTGTCTCTGGTGAATCTTCTCACCGCCCCTGAGCCTCTGGCCTGTACCCCAGTTCTGTATGTACAAATAAAATAAATCTTAAAAATATATATATATATATACATATAGTACCTATATGTATTTTGTATTTTCCCTGGCCAAATAATATTCCATTGTATGGTCATAATACATTTTGTTTTCCCATACAATTGATAGGCATTTGGGTTGTGTGTACCTTTTGACTATTATTAATAATGCTGCTATAAACATTGTATGCCAGTATTTGTGTGGCCATGTATTTAATTTCCCTTGGGTTATATACCTAGGAATGGAGTTGCTATTTCCTATGGTAATTTGATGCTTATATACCTGGGCTTTTGTAATAACCTCCTCTCTGTCTCTATTGCTTATCTTCCATCCCCTATATTGCTAGTAGGCCTATATTACTGTTTCTGAAACATTGTTTTTTGCAATGTTTCCTTCATTAAAGATCCACACACAGTAATTTTACCATTGAGAAGTTCACTATCAAAGCCTAATTCTTTCTTCTAGCTCAACCACATCAATTACCTAAATACAGCTTGCTACTTAGCCATAAAAACATGAAATCTTGCCTTTTGTAACAGTATGTATGGAACTGGAGGGATGATGCTAAGTGAAACAAGTCAAGAAGAGAAAGACAAATACTGGGTTATTTCACTCATTGTGGAGTATAAAGAAATAAAGTATATAGATCACATCTTCTTAATCCACTCATCTGTTGTTGAACACATAGGTTGTTACCATTACTTGGCCATTGTAAAAGTGCTTCAGTGAACCATAAAAGCACATGCTTCCCTTCAGATTAGTGTTTTTGCATTCTTTGTGTAGATACCTAGAAATGGAATTGCTGGGTCATTTGATCTGTGTTCAGTGTTTTGAGAAACCCCCATACTACTTTCCACAGGGGCTGGACCAGGTTACTCTTCCACCAACAATGCATGAAGATTCCTTTTCCTCTGCCCTCTCACTGATACCTGTTGTTTCTGGTCTTTGTGATTCGGGCCATCCTCATGGATATGAGGTGTTATCTCATTGTTGTTTTGAGCTATATTTTCCTCTTAAGTGGCAACGAGCATTTTTTCATATGCTCTTTCTCCATTTCTCTTTCATGTCTGTTTTCTCTCCCTAAGATGTCTCCCCATTTTCTATCTCTCCCACTTCCTCCAGTTATAGAAGCATCTTGATCTCTCCTGTTTTCTCTTTTCTACTACCATCTCCCCATCAAAGAACATTTTCTTACAACTGTCTCTGCTTTTTCCTTTTCCTTTCTCTTCTTATGCCACCCTTTTCCCAGGACGTACACTGGCATGTGTCCCTCTGTGTCTAAGGGTGCCTGTTTTCCTCCCTGTAGGAGATACAACAGCGGCATGGTCTGGCCAACTCCATCTCTTCCTACCTGATTAAGCCTGTCCAGAGGATCACCAAGTACCAATTGCTCCTGAAGGTACCCCCCGACATATATCACCCTCTACCACACAACTGACCAGACGCAGGGGTCCCAACTTTGCCCAAGGGTGGGAAGTTTCCACTGAAGCCCTTTCTTCTACCTAGAGTAGAACTTCAGCCATGACTTCAGACTTCCTGTCCTAACCTATGAAATTCCGGATGCTTACTTGTGAGGGGTAAGAGGAGAATGTGGTTCAAGAACAAGTTGTGGTTATTTTCACACCCCCCACTTTTAACAAATATGACCCCAGGCACTGGGTGGTATTTAGAGTCTCTCCTGTCCCTCCCTCCTGGGACAGATTTCTTCTGGTGTGCCCTGCTCTGATGGGATCAGGAGTCAGAGTCTTATGGGCAATGCCAGTCTGGTCAGGCCAGGTTTGTACCTACCATTGCGTTACTCTGTTTTGATCAAGACTGTAAGTTTTTTTAGAGGAAACATTCAGAGACAACATGTTAAAACACAAGGATACCCTTATGTCTGTGGGATCCCATGTGTTACGGGAGCTTCTGGAGATAGCCAGGTGATTTGGATTTTCTCCAAAATCTTTTCTTTAAAAGCCAAATAATCATATTAAAAATATTTATTAATTTAGACTGATTCCCTCCAAGAAATGGATGCATTGATGGTTTGAAAATATGACATTTCCCCCAGAAAGCCTAAGAAATCACAATTGTACACAATTATATCACTATTAGTTCTTAAGATGTAAAGGTATAGTTTTCCTTCACTTTATATATTGTTCAGAATTCTCAAGTGAAAAAAATGAAGGCATGATGAGAGACATGTTATAAATAGAATAGTTTTCAGAAGAAATCTGGTGAAATTCAACTCATGTTTAGGGACAACTATAGGATTGTGTATATTCTAGCTTCACTAAACAGTAAACCCAGTCTAGTTTCAAATCTAGGGCTTTCTGTCCAGCATGTGGGATCTCCCTGGTTTTGCACTTGTGGTTCTCTGATGAGCAAAGTGTGGTGTGCCCTGGGTTCTCTCCCAGCTCTGAGAAGGCAAGTCCATGCACCATCGCATCCCTCCAGATGCCGTCTTCACCTTCCACCCCCTCCTTATCTCCAAGAAAAGCCTTCAGGCTTCTGCTTCCACACACTGAAGTCATCCAAACCTGCAAAATGATTTAGAGAAGTGCAGTGCAGCACTTCACCTTGGCTGCTGAGGATGAGCGTGAAAAACAGCGATGGCTAGAACAGCTCAACTGTTAGGACAGAACTGCTGTCAAAGAGAGCACCTTCTTTATTTTCCAGGTTTCTTATATTGACTCAGAAATTCTTATAAGATCGCAGATTAGTGGGTGAAGGGTTATTTCCTGAAACAATTAGTGTGTTTTCTGCCCCTTAAACCACAAAAATGACGAGTCCATTTTTTTCTATTAGATAACGCTAAGTTCTGTGGTTACTACAGTAGCTTTTCCTTAACCCAGATTTCTGTTTATAATTGTTCTCTCCTTACCCACCCCCCTTAATGTTTTTTTTTCTTGTGCTAGTAGACTTTTAAGATTTGTTTTTATGACTTTTCATATATCTCAAAACCATTTCAGAAATTAGTGGAGTTAAAATACCAACTTGCCCAGCCACACTGCCAATGTCTTAAATTAATTGTAGTTTTAGAGAAAGAATAACCTCTCCTTTTTAATCCCTTTTAATGAGGTTGAGGTTTCTAGGACTAATTTTATGAAACGGACAAAGGTGGGCAGTGGAGGCTGGATAGACTGCCCTGTGTTTTACTTTAGACAAATGGACAGGTGGGCTGTGGGCATCACATCATAATTGGATGTTTTAAAAAGTGACCATGTAGGTAACTGAAAGTGAAAAAAATGAAGTAGTAGGAATTTGATTGTGGGGAAGTTGTAAACTTTCCAGGGGATGATAGAGGGGGAAAAAAAATTGCACCTCTTCAATACACTAATAGCAGGGTGCCTGTAAAAAAGAAAAAATAGTTTGCTGAGCTCTTACTAGAAATAAATAATATGGGATTTATTTGCTCATTAAAGTCAGGTTTATTCCAAGTAAATTGATACTTAATTATCAGTGTCCTCTGGGGTTCATCACTTTAGGTGTTGCATGGAAGAGAAAACTATATGTCAGTTGAAGTGCTCAATACTCTGTAAATCTGCAATAGCTGTTCTTTTAGAGACTAGATTAAATATGGGTCCTTATCTACCATAAACTATAGGAAAGATCCAAGAAGAATTTATTGACTTTGCTACTAGATTGGTGGCCTCACTAAATTGCTTTAGGGTTAAACTAATTGGTATTTTGTGTTGCAAACAGAAGCATATTTCTTACTCATGCTCACTTAGGCAGCTCATATACTAAAATGTTTCTTGTTTCCCTCTGATGTTTCTGCCTCAGGCATACCTTTGAAAATGCATGAGACTAAAGTTGGGAGGGTTTACATTAGGAAGGGTAGGGAGAATTAGAGAACTTCAGATCAGCAGACATAAATACAACTTTCTGAACAATAATGCCATCATCACACCAACTAAAACCAAAAACAAGGCTGAAAACATGTTCTCTGGGTAATTCACTCATTTTTTGGACACAAAGCTCCCCTCTTCCTATGAGAATCTATCTAAGATAATGCAAAGAATTGGATTTCCCTTTGGTCTAAGATAACTTACCAAGTATAAAGCTTTACTAATGATTTCAAAGATACAAATAATCCTAGGTTAAAAAAAAAAAAGATAAGTCCAGGAACCACCACCTTTCAGCCCTTCCTTGCAGTATCAGGATTAACATGCAAGGTTCCTAAATGATGTAGCATATCATTTACCTGAAGAGAGCCATTTTGGTCATGAAATGTATTCACTCTTTACTTGAAGCTTTGCATAGTTTATAAGATACTTCCCAGAGTGTTATGCCCCTAAAACCACAGAATCCAGGTTTGTTTATCATAAGAAGTCCTAGACAGGCAGATGTATTCTACTAAAAGCATTCCTTAGATAAGGACCATCCTGTAGCAGGAGGTCTGTCATTAACATGTTTACAAGGTTTGATCTGGCCAACTTCTTTCTTGCCTGGAAGTGAAGTGCACCCCATCCATCCATCCATCCATCCATCCATCCATCCATCCATCCATCCATCCACCCACCCATCCATCCACCCATCCCCTGCCTCTTCCCACCAAAAGAAAAAGTATATGGATTGCAGATCTGTAGCTTAACTACTTCCCAGTGTCAAATCGAGTGAGGTAATAATCCCAAGAGGGAAAATGAAAGCCAGTATTACTATATTGAACAATATCATTATAAACAATCTTGTGATTTCTTGGTTGGAAATTATTATCTGACCCTATATGTCTTTCATGGAGTTGGTAATAGCCTAGTCTCCAATGAGGAGGTAGAAGTGAAAGGGCATGTTCCGGGATGTCTCAGTGAAGTCAAGGATATGGGGGGGGACAGGGTTGGGGGAGTGGTTGACGCACTGGACTTGGAATCAGGAGACCTGGATGTAAGTTCCCACATGAATCTCCAGTGAATTTCACATGGGGGTGAGATGGGGGTAGGCAAGTGCATCCCTCCTAGTCAGTTTCCTCATTTGACAATGAAAGACTAGTCAAGACTCCCATCTGTTGAACTCAGGTTAGGAACTCCTAATCTTTATCATCTAAAAGTTTGGTTTTTTTTTTTAACTATGGATTGCTATAAACCTATAATTTCTGTAACCTCAGTATGGCAGCAGTGACTATTCTGGCAGCAGAGGTATGTAAATAGAAGTGGTGCTACTGTTACAGGGCACCCCAATGTGAACTGGGCCACCTGTCTGGGTCCTCACCAACATGCTTAAAATTCAGTTATACTGTAGGCATACACAAAAGGGTCAATAATGGGGTTATTTACAAAGAGGAAAGGAAAAGGTACAACCCAGGGGAAGAGAGAGAGATACAAGTTAACTAGAACATCTTACCTGCTCCGCTGACTTGGAACTCCAACAACACATTGATAGCTCATCAAGAGCCAAATGACCAGCTGCTCAGTCCAGAGAGTGCCCCGTTGTCCAGAGAGCCACATGGTCCAGAGAGAGCCTCTCACCTGGCTCCTTATATGTCCCCAAAAAGTCCCAGAATGCCTGCTTAGCTCTCCCCTTGGGTCCTCTGTGGTATTGCTGGGAGTTGTAGTTTACTGAAGTAGGGAGTGGAGTCCATAAGACTCTGCAGAGTTCCTTTAGGACATCCTTTCCCCCTAACACTACTGATAGGTATGCTGGGATATGTGAGTGTTGTGTGTACATTGAGAACCCTTTGTCCACTCTAGATTCCACAGTACTAGAGATCTTGTGCTTTGCCAGGAAAATTCCCTCCCCTCGGGAGCCGTCCAGCAATGGAACTGCCCTAGTCACTGACTTATCGTGCCAATCATTTACAAGTTGGGTTGAACTGAGTTTGTTTGAACTAGATTGAGCTGAGGAAGCTCAGTCTGGGGAAAAACAGTGATTGAATTCTTTGGAAATAGCCTCCCACCCCACCTCACCCAACTTCCTATATAGCTCAGAGGCAGCCACTGCAGAGAACAATGTTGGTGTAAAATTGCCTTAATGGGTTAGGTAGTGGGAAGGCAGGGAAGCTGGGGGAAGGGGTTCTAATTGTGTCTGGACTTTTCCCTCCAGGAACTTTTAACTTGCTGTGAAGAAGGGAAAGGGGAGCTCAAGGACGGCCTGGAAGTGATGCTCAGTGTCCCAAAGAAAGCCAATGATGCCATGCATGTCAGCATGCTGGAAGGTAGCTGTCCTCCCAGCCTGTCACAAGGGGCCTCCCCACTTCCCAAGATCAGGGAGCATGTGGGAGGGAGATGACAAGAAGTCAGGCAAAGGGCAAGGCTGGAAGGGAGGAGAAATGACAAGCGTTACATAAGTAGTGGGGAGGTGTGAGAGGCTCTCCCTGGGGACCAGCTGTGCTGACACCCTGGCTCCAGGTAGGACCAGACCTAAGTCTTTCAGATAGGTAGACAGCTTACTGCCTGTGAGACACACCAGGACAGGCGGTCGTCCTTACTATAACGTGCCGGAAGCTTGCCCCACAACGGTTCTGCTCTGTTGCGTAGCATTAGCTTTGCTTTAGTCATCAGAATAAGCAGAAATTAGAAATTGTAAGTAGAATGTGTATGTGCGCACTCACACACACATGTGCAGTGTGCTAGTCTTATGCCTTGTCTTTATTGTGCCAAAATATACAGAAAATTTACCATTCTAGCCATTGTAAATATAGTCCTATTATTGGGCAACTACCCTTACGCCCTGCCTGTAGGTAAGAAAACTTCAGCCAGAGAAAGCTTAACAGAACTTCCTCAAAATGCATTCAGGCCACTGGATGATGCTCTTGGGACCTAGAAACCTGGTCAAATGAGGCAGAAATATTGTGAGTACAACACTCATCAGAGATGGGGAGGGCAGCCACACCAGGGGGGCAAATACCAGCATCCCAGTCTGGGCTGGTAGAGAGCTCGTAAGGGGAGTCACCCTCACTAAAAATGTGCCAGAAGTGTGCTACATTGCAAATGTACAAACCTGAGGGCTGCTTTTCTCTACTGGGCTTCATCTCCTCCAGCACTTCTCCTGTCGATGCTGCTTGTAAGTAATTCCTGGTCCCTCTTAGCACAGGAAATCCCAGTTCTTCATGCAAAGAATCCTTGGTCACCTTCACCAGACAATACTAATGATCTTAACACATCCCTTTTGTCACAATTTCTCTATCCATTTCTTTGCTGTTTGCACCCGCCCCTCTAACGCCACCCTGGATGCCTTCTAATACGAGCACCCTTTGCCTTCAGCCTGTCCCTGATCTGTATTCTATGGGCCAGCAGCAGCAGCAGCAGCAGCAGCAGCACCTGGAGCTTATCAGATGTAAAACTCATCAGCTGAACACCTCCTGAATCCCTGTCTCTCAGAGATAAGGGTGGGCAGGAATTTGTGGGCACACGTTCTCCAGGTGATTCTTATGCACACCCAAGTTTCAGAACCTGTGAAAGACTTCAAGTGGAATAGATTGTTGAAGACTCTTTCACCACCCTGTACAGAAACAATCAAAGAAAAGCGCCCTCAGAATGGAATATAAGACACGAAAGAATGATAGTGTGGAGTCAGGGACACTCCGCCAAGCAGTGTTTGTCTTTAGTCCCACTCAGAGCCTGAGTGAGAAGCAGTAGGGAGCTGTGGAGGAAGAAGGAGATAGAGGTTTGCCCTTGCAGAGTCTGGGGGGAGGCAGGATCTGTGCAGAACCTTTTGCAAGAGATTCAGCTAATACCAGTCATGCCCACAACAGTGCGGTGCAGAAAGCGGGGTCTGGTCATGGTTCTGTAGAGCCATCACCTCCAGTCTGCAGGAGCCTCGGGAATCAGAGGGGAAATGCCGTGGAGCTGAAAGCTAACCGTTTGGGAAGCCTTCTCCAGGAGGAGCGTGGACCCGAGTATCTCAAATGTGGCACTAGAGACACTCCACAGGGTGGAAATGGGTGTCTTTCAGGGTTCGACGAGAACCTGGATGTGCAGGGAGAGCTGATTCTCCAGGATGCCTTTCAAGTGTGGGACCCTAAGTCGCTGATCCGGAAGGGGCGGGAGCGGCACTTGTTCCTCTTTGAGATCTCCTTGGTTTTTAGCAAGGAGATCAAAGACTCTTCAGGACACACGAAATATGTTTACAAGAACAAGCTACTGGTAGGTGGGGCAGGTGGGGTGAGACAAGACTCCCTGTTTTCATAGAGCCCTTGGGCAGGAAGGGATCTTGAAACATTCAGCTCACCTGTGCCCCTGGTGCCACGCCAAAACCATCCTGGACAAATGAAATGTGCCTCCTATTTGGAAAATGGCCCTCCTGAACTCCCACTTCTGTATTTTAGCGAACGCAGTTCTTTTTTCTGTTTGCCTTTAGCTCCTCCCTCTTCACCTTCCCTCCCTGCTACCTGCTAATCAGGCACTGTGCCTGCAGGTCCTTTCCTCCTGGGTAGATGAACAAAATATCCAATCTGTTTAAGTTTGATTGACAGAAGCCCCTCCCATCGTCCTCTCCTCTCTGTTGCCTTTCCCTTCCCACCCCAGCCCTAAGTTTCCCCACTGCCCTCCCCTTCCCCGCCTCTCACAGGCATTTCCTGTCTACAGACCTCAGAGCTGGGTGTGACCGAGCATGTAGAGGGCGATCCCTGCAAATTCGCCTTGTGGTCTGGGCGCACCCCATCTTCAGACAATAAAACAGTGCTGAAAGTAAGTACTGCTCCCTGCTGGGCACAAGACCAGGTCTGGGGTGGTGGGGAGTGGGTGTGTTATACCTAAAAGCTGGGCCTGGACTCTCCACTGAGCCTGTGGTCATCTCTGAAGAATGGCAGTGTCACGTGGGTATTGAGAAGCAAATCCCATCATAAAGCTAAACTTGAAGTCTCAGTGAGTAAAGATGTCCCCAGTCCATGCATTTGTGAAAGCAGGAGGGAGAGAGGAGGGAGTATCCTACCAGACTTCTTCTAGGGCCCACTTATGAGACATGTTCTGTCCATTATCAAGTGACAAGAATAGCAGTCAACCCTTGACAAAAGGCATCTTGATTTGCTCAACATTCATTCAACTTTTTTTTCCTAAATAATTCCTACATATATGGTATATTTATATATTCTACTTAGTGCTTTGGGTACTAAGTACCTTTAAACTGTAGACCCTATTCCTGGGAACTTACATCCTAGAAACTATAGTGAATCATAGCCGCCTGGAGCTATGCTGATTGAACAGAGTATCAAGAGGCCTTTCACCAAATGACAGCCCTGAAGCGTTGCCTCAGCTCTCCAGAGCACATGCAGTTGGTCAGGCAGGCAGTGCTGCCTGCTGTTATCCTGTCTGAGAAGGCTTCCAACAGCTGGAGCATCTTCCAGCTATGTGCTTGTCAGGAAGTGTCTGTCACTGAAAAGATGTTGCAACCCTGACAACAGCTTTGCACTCCTCTGTACTGCCGTTGTAGTAACCACCTGTCACAAGATGGTTACCTGAAAACAACTCCACAAAAACAACTGGGCTATTCATAGAATGGTAGCAGTGCCTTCAATTAATGGGTCTACCTAGCTAAAAACCCAGGATTGACTAAGTCAGTCCATGCCTAAGTAGCCCCAGTAGGCACTGAATGTCCTAATATGTGTCCTTACCACCTGGTAAGAAGCTGCTGCCTTGGCATTCCACCTTACTTCCCCGTCCGGTGCCCCCATGCCCCCCAAATTCTAGCCACTGAAGTATGACTCTCCCACCCACCGGAAACCCTCCAAAGACTGCCTCAGCCTCAAGCTATTAAATTCTTTAACAATGACCACTGTGCAAATCTATGTTGAATGTTGAGGTTATAACCCTGTTCTAAGAGTTGAAGAAACATGTCCTCAGGAAGAACCATAAGGACAAAAACTAGGAACTCCTAAAACATCTGTTATCCTTGAAAGTAATGGATGAGGGCCCTTCCTGGTGGTGCATTGGGTTAAATCACAACACTAAGAAGCTAAAGCCACTTCATCATGAGTTCGATCCCTGCCCCAGAGGTAACTCACATGGTGCGGCAGACCTCTCCTGACCCATCCACTGCTCCCTCAGCAGTGTACTAAGTCAATCTGCCTGTTCTTCTCCCCACTCTGTCTCTGGTGAAGCCTCTTACTGCCTCTGCACCTCTGGTCTATACTCCAGTTCTATATGCATAAATAAATAAATCGTTAAAAAAAAAAAGAAAAGAATGGACGAAGCCTATCAGAGGAGAGTAGAGAACTGTTTGGGCTGCATAAAGGGAGGAAGGGTTCTTACTTTTCCTCCCTGTGGCACTCCAGGCATCCAACATAGAAACCAAGCAGGAGTGGATCAAGAACATACGAGAGGTGATTCAAGAACGGATCATTCACCTGAAAGGCGCTTTAAAGGAGCCAATTCAGCTCCCCAAAACACCAGCCAAACAGAGGAACAATAGTAAGAGGTAACCAGCGTCTCTCCCCTAATCCTGCCTCACATGCTTCTGGGAGTGGGAATGGGGTGAACCTTTACTTCCACAGGGCCAGTGATTCTGCAGGTGGCAACACTCTTCATGAAGCCCCCACTAAGTTCTGCCTAGAGTGTGTTACTAATCTTTAAACTTCTCACTGTTGCTGTCAGTTCAATCCCAGAGCACCTTTGGTTTGATAGACACTCTCCTAAGTGCTTCAAGAAGAGAAAGGGGAATGTATGATGAGTCCATTGCCTCAAAGCCATCTAAGGGTCATGTCTCACAGAGAGAGGATGTCACAGGGCGCAAGAGTGCAGTTCCGGAGAGGATTTGGAAGGGAGATGACCCTTAGTGGGGACCCTCAGGTCTGGTTAGACAACAAGAGGACTTTGGATATTGCAACTTGGGGTAATCTTTGCCGCTTTTATAGGAACACCCCTCCTCCCCCACACACATGCCTCTCTTCATCCATCCACTATAAACAGAAGATGGCTCATTTCTTACATCTTCATCTCTCAGTGCTCTTCACATCCCTACTTTCCCTTAGACCAGTGGGTAGCTTCTTTGGTATTTCTTAAGTCTCCATGTGACATTCTTTTTTGGAGGACGCTTCAAAAGGAAGCATACAATAACTTCCTGTATTTCTTCAAGTCCGTAGGAAAATATAGCAGAAACAAGAGTTCTAGGGATAAAGGTGACTAGTGTTGAACATTCCTGCCCTGCTCAATCTGGGGATTTTGTTGATTTGGGGCCAAGTAGCAGATGCAGGATGGGGAGCCTCTGTGGAGCAGCAGCAGTAATGCAGAGGGAGGTGGGGTCAAAATAAGGCTATGAATGAGGCCAGTGTGGGTCCATGGGGCAAAAGTCCAAGACCTGCATGGCCAGCAGAGGGCTGCCTCTTGGTGCTGGAAGGAAAGATGGTACTTGAATTGAAGGAAGGTTTGTGTTAATATCAGTTACCAGGTAAGAAGTAGATTTAGTTTAGCACTAGAGACACACCCTACTGCAAAGAGGCCCCTATCTTAAAATACTAGAAAGGAAATAATTACAATGACTGAATGTTCAGGACCATGGTGGCAGAGGATGTTCAGGTGATATTACTTAGAGTTACACTTTTACCTACAGTAGGAGAGTTTGAGCATTTCTAGAACATGGAAACAATATATCTTGGAAATTCCTGCCAACTTTCTCTGTTATTGTCCATGATGGAGGGTAAGAATAATTGACAGACTGCAGTGAATAGCCAGGCAGTCTCATTTCATTAGCTTGGCTCCCTGGATATGGGAACAGAGTTTACGGAGGAGGGGATAGGCCCGGGGAATATCACCTACACTCTTGGATGGGCTCCCCACATCCCCCAGAACTGCGTCATCTGGAAGGGACCAGAAGGGCCTGCAATGGGCCAGAATAGTGGGAAGCAGAAAGCATAGCCAACTCTTAAATATCTACAAGTGGTGGGGAACAGTGGCCTAGATAATCCAAAACAACAGATGATCTAAAAGTCCTTTATTTTTGGATTTGAGATGCATCACACAACTTCTTTTTACAGCAGCGTTTCACTCCTTACAAATATGTTATTATTAAAATAAGTTGGCATTTTCCAGGCCCACAAGTGCTGATGAGAGAGCAATGAACTTAGAAGTTTTCTGGAAGGGAGAAAACCCTTTTAATGACTAGTATAACACGTGTGCACAGGTACATTCACATGCACACACTTGTCCACGGACACGTACCTTCTGGTGATCTTTTAGACTCTGTGAGGAAGGCTCAGTATATGGGACACTTTGCCCCTATGGAGATATTCTCAGGCCACGAGTCTCCTGTCCTGTAACCAGCAGCAGGGGTGTGACTTTCATAAAGCTTTCACAGAAAGAGCTGCCATTTCCTGTGCTAATTTACCCAATCCCTGGTCTGTATCTCCTCTAGTTTTCCCACTGGGCCTTCACTATTGCAGGTACCTTATCCCCCTTGACTCTGGATGTGAGTTCAGGGCAGAACTGGTGCACAGTTCTAAAGCTGAGGTGTTGAAGGAACATGCAAGTGGATTGCTCTTGTGGTCCTGGGGCCCAGGAAGGACCTAAATACCAGGGGTGCAGTCGGGAGGTGTCTTTTCGGACCTGTGGGAGCACACAGCTTACTCTGAAGCTGCTGTATCTGTAACTATTCTCCTGTCGTTGAGAAGATTCCTTGGTCTTCTGGATGAGTTAAGCAAGAACTAATAAATGAGGGCAATAGACTTCTCCAAATCTAGGAATTGAGGGCCCAATATCAATAACTTCCCAAATATAATCTCCCTGAAGAAAATACCCTGCCCCGTTTTCTTAAGCAAAAAAAAAATTTACAAATCAAAGAACAAAAATCTTAACAGTTCTTGCATGTATATATGCATATACCCTGGATGGTTGGAGATGATCTACCCCTTCCGCTGACTGAATCCTAGCTTCTCAGTAGGCTCTTCCTCTTCCTATTGCCTGGTACAGATGCATTCCCCGTTACTAAAAAAAATTCCTCTCTGCAGCATGGGCCAGAGGAGCAATGGGGAGGGGTTCTTGTGTGTTCAGTTATCAACATAGCAGTTACGTATTTGCTAAGTGCAAGAGATGACATCACCGAAAATCATTGTTCCCTTTAGTGGGATAATTTTAGATTAATTCCAGCTAGAACATGCTGAGGTTCTGCTCTGCCAGCCCAGGTGGAAATACTTGTGTGCTCTAAACCCACAGTGGTCCCCCCACCCCCACCCCTGTTTTGTTTTCTCTTCTTCCTGCAGGGATGGAGTGGAGGATATCGACAGCCAGGGTGATGGGAGCAGCCAGCCAGACACCATCTCCATTGCCTCTAGGACCTCTCAGAACACAGTGGACAGTGACAAGGTAGGACAACGTTCCAGCCTTCCTTCCCCCAAGACCTTTTGTGACTTGACCACCAGTGCCAGTACCCTCTGACGAATTTCTCCCACTATGGCGCCTGACGTCAGAAGCTGGTTGTTTCTTTGTGCCAGAGGAAAGAACAAGATATGTCACCATGTGAAAATATTGTCTGAAGGGACTTGGGGGTGGTCAGCTTGAGTTCTCATGTTGTGAGGTAGGAGAAATGGGGAGGGTGAGTAGTGAGAAAGTCTGGATCTTCTTTCCTTCTGAGGCATCCCATGGGGCTGCTTAGGCCGCTCGATCTTCTGGAAAATTGGGACTCAAGGAGACTAAAGCTGGGATAGTTTCCTGAGGCCTCAGTGGCTGTGACTTGCTCACATGATCTGAATGAGGCTTATCTCAAAGTTCGACCAAGACCAGTGATTTGGGAAATGGTCACAGAGATGCTGGCTCATAGGGGAGCCTCTTGTCCAGTAGAAATGATGAGTTCCTCTGGCCAGATTGTTGGGCCCCAGTTCCTGAGGACAGAGGACCAGGAAACTGTGAATGAAGCAGGACCTGGTAGTTTTGTGAGAAAGCCTGGTCACTTACTTACACTTGCAAGTAAGCAGAAGTTAAGAGCTCTGATGGGGAAGAAGAAGGAGGCTACAGCCAAAGCCCTATGTATTTGCTCAACCTGGGCTAGGAATTTAAGGGTCTGAATTTGTAGCAAGGATGGGGAAGGGTTTTGCCTCTGACTCTACTCTCATTTGCTTACTTCAGGGTTGGAAGGATATGAAATAATCTTTGCATATTAGTGCATATTAGATTTTATTAGTGATGGCATGGATTTTCAAAGACTATCTGGCCTGTCCTTGCTTCATTTTTATTATAGTTAAGTTACAGTTACTTTTTTAAAGATGATTTGCATTCATTACTTTTCCTATTATTTTTCTTACTGAGGAAAAAAAATAGACTGTGCCCACAAGTCTCCTCTAAGATCATGGCACTAAGTCTGGCTAATCATGCGCTAGACTAGTGTTCAAAGATAATTAAGGTAATTCTATCATCAAGTCTCTATGCCATTTTTGACTATCAGAGTGAATGGAAAATTAGGGTTTTTCCACTTGTAAAAGCATACACAGAAAAAGATTTCTGTCTTTTACTTTTTTCTCTGATCTGTTGATTAGAAATGTAACCTAGAACACCCTAAGCATAAAAGTCAGTGGGTGGTAAGTAAAGCTTCTGATGTTTGACACAACCTGTTAGTTTCAAGGTCCAAGGCTTCAGTCCTTCCAGAAGCTCCTCCATCTTCCTTGCAACCCTGAGTTAGGAGCCCGTGTTGAAACCATTTGTCTTGGGAAGTCTGGAGCTCCCACTGCTACTTGTCTTTAGGCAGGAAAATGAGCTGAAGTTAGAACACCTCTCACAGCAAGTGTTTCACCATTAATGATACCAGTACATACACATTACTCTATCAGTAAGGAAACTGAGGTCCAGGAAGGGTGAGTTGGTTCATCCCGAAAAGTTCTAGTAGTTAGCGGAAAAACAGAAACTAGAAACAAGATGTCCTGATTCACTTTCATGATATTTTTTCCCTCTGAAAGTCAAAGCATTAAACTTCTAATGATTACATCAGCCCAGCTAGTCAGTCTTTACATTCCATAAAAACTCTCTGCAGAAAACTTTAGTTTTGAACTTTTGTTCAAAAGCTCCATTTGCATAATTTGCATTTCATCACCATCTTTGAGAGCCAAGCTATTGTGCCCTAATGAAGGCAGGGGTTGTGTTTGTCTGTTTCAATGCTATTCCCCTGGCACAGAGCATTCAGAAATGCTCTGGAAGTTCTTGTGGGATGGACAGAAGGGGCAGATCTCCAGCATAACGAGGTAAAGAGAGTTAACACACGTGATCTCAAAGCAGCCAAACATACAAATATCAGGCTTTTAAATAACAAAGAAGCTTAGAGATTTCCTCACCTCCACGTGGAAAGCTTTAGTCAGCTGGGTGACATGGCCTGTTGCATAATTAATCCCCAACTTTTTGGGCCTTAGTAAACCTAGGCAGCAGGTCAGGAGGTAGTAAATCTATATTCTATACATGAACCCTGGAAAATCACTTAGAAATAGTCACATTCAGAAAAAAATTGAGGGACTGTCAGTAACCATGCACTGTAACTTAGAGTGTTCTTACTCAGGAGGGATAAGGGACAACCATGAATTTCCCTTCATCAGAGGAACATTCTCATATCTTTGAATTCATAGATGTCAGCAACAGTGTTACATTTCCCCATAACTATAGCCAGGAATTGGTCTCCACTGGTTTCCAAGTGGTCAAGTGAATGTACTCTGAAGAAGAGAAAGGTAAAAAAGTGGGTTGAGGCCCTCCCTGGTGGCACAGTGGGTTAAAGCACAGCACCAAGAATCTGAAGCCACTTCCGCATGAGTTCGATTCCCACCTGCCCCGGAGGTGACCACATGGCGTGGCAGACCTCTCCTGACCCACCTGCTGCTCCCCTCAGCAGTGTACTTTGTCAGTCGCCCGTTCTGCTCCCCACTCTGTCTCTGGTGAAGCCTCTCACCGCCCCTGAGCCTCTGGCCTGTACCCCAGTTCTGTATGCACAAATAAATAAATCTTAAAAAAAAAAAGTGGTTTGATTCAGGTAAATGGAGTCAATGGAGGAGCAGCTACCATTGACTATGGGTAGAGAGAGATAGCTCACAGGGATCAGGGCCTTTTACCAATAGATTTCCAGCAAAGACCCCAGTCTTCCTCTTCTAATCCAGAGGAACACAAAAGTGGCACCCTGGGGCTGGGTAGAGAGGAAATGTAAGAATTTAAGGATATAACAGACAACTTGAGGAACTGCAGCACCTTAGGGCACCCTCCAGTCTCCCTGTGTGTATTTTGTGTGCTATGTGTGGCAGAGGGAGTTTGGACACACTGGGTGAAGCCTCTAGCCTAACTTTCCTGTCACACTGCAGGAGTTTTTGCACATACTAGTCCTGCCTGTAAAACAAAGCTAATTCCCATCTCATGGTGCTTCTGAGAAAACTAAGTAAATTATATTTACTTGGCAACTGTTAGACATTCTGTAAAAGTTAATTTCCCACCTTTTTTAGAGGGAAAGAAAAATTGATATACTGTGATGACATAACAGACAGCACAGAGACTGTGAAGATCTCTGAAGTTTCTTGAGAATAGAGTTCTGACCTCTAGTTTGATCACTCGTTAACAAATTGACAGCAAGTTCTTCCCTATGTCAGAGCTAAAGGGATGGAGATTCAGTTCACTTACTTGGAAATAGAACAGCTTTACTCCTCTTCCCATTTACTAGTCTTTAGAATCTAAGCATTGGCTCGTGGGTTATTTTAGTATTTTATTGTTCTTGGGCATTAATTTTAATCCACATTTTACCACATTTGGCCAGTGTCAGTCTTTAGGGCTTTAGATATTTGAAAACAATAGTTTCTCTTTCCTCTTAGTGTTCTCTCTATATATCTGAAGGCCTTGGCTTCTCCACTTGTTCCTTGTAGTGGTATATTTTCAGACCTTTCCATATCCTAGTCACCTTCCTCTGGATTTACTCTGGAGTGCAACTATGTGTGTAAACCAGGGCATCCAGAATGGAGCACAATACTGTAGATGTGATTGCACTAATACAAATGCATTTCCTAGTTCTGGGACTACTAGTTCTACTCTCTTCCCTCAGATAACATACCATGCTGTCGAGGGCATGCCCAGTATTGGCTCAGAAAATCCCATGCCTGTTTCCATGGACTTCCCTTAACTGCTCAGATGACTTAGCCAGAGTATCAGGCTGTTTTATGTCTCCATTTTCCCTTAGTTAGCGCCATTCCAGTATTTCAGCATATTTTAATTATCACTTATTTGTCTAGTTTGTCAATTATATCTCCTAGCCCTATTGGATAAACATACCTTCTGTGACTTCATCTAATTTCTTGCTAAAAAGATAGGGCAGAATGCCAATGCCTAATATTATCCTCATTTCCATACAGATTTTAACACTTAGGACCCTGTTTGTCTGACTTTCTCTAGAAAAGGACATAGTCATAGCAGCAGAGCTGGAATTGCTTGCTTAAAATGTAAAACCTTACATTGATGAAGAATCAATTTAATGTCTTTAATTTGTATTAAATGCTGACAAAGCCCATATAGGTGCTCAGAAAATAACTTTAATAGCTTTCCCAAAAGTTGCTTTCATTCCACCCTCCAGTGCCTGCATGATTAGATTCTGCCTTTTACCTGTGCTATGCAAGGTGATGTTCCCCTGAAGGCAACTGGGCCTGCTTGCTTTGTCCCGAGTGTCTTCCTGTTCTGTCAGAAATACGGTCACATTGTTCTAGGCAGGGCCTTTCTCTGTAAAGGCTCTTTTGTCTATATGTGTATTATTGATGATGGGTCTTTATAACCATACTGCAAAGAAATCTAGAACTACAGAATCCTAAGCAAGCAAGGCAGTACAGAGAGGTGGCAGGAAGACATGTCTTATTGTTTAACATGATGGACGTCTACTGAGTAATTTCCAGCCAGTGGCACAGAAGTGACCACCTGCACCTTGATGGTCCGTGTGCATGTATTTGCCATTGGACGGTGCATGCTGGAGTCACTCATTAAATGCTTATTGAATTGAACATTACAAACCCATCTTAGCAGGGACAGCCTCCATCCACAAATCACTATGGATTTCTAGACATGGAAATTCTATGGCTGGAGGCAGAGAAATCAAAGTGCAGTTGAATTGTAGGTGCTGTTCTGTGCAAAAATGGTAAGGGAGAGAGCATTGCTGTGACATCCCAGAGCTGATGATCCCAGAGCAACACTCCTCAGCAGTTCTATCACTCTGCCCTTTGTCTCGGGAAGGCCGGGGTTGTGGGCCCAAGAGTCCACAATTTGAATGAGGAATTTTAAGAACAAGCGAATGTGATCTAGGATATAAGATGGACTGATAATGGCAAAGTGCTAGAGGGCGACAGGAAACTGCCTAGAGAAGCCTAGGGATT